AGCAACACCTGAGTTTGGCTCTCAAATCCCTCCTTCTCCAGCTGTTCTTTGCCAGAAATTCCTCCCATTTCCCAATTTACTTGGAATTTTCCCCTTGGAGCTTCTCCCCCTTGTCTGGAGGAGCCGCGTGATGGGATTCCGGTGTCTCCTCTTTTCCCTGGAACTCTGGAGGTCACCTTTCCACTCCTTCCTAACCGTGTGACCCTTCCCATTCCCAGTTTCCCGACGGAGAAGAAGAACGTCTCGCCCGGCGCGGCCCTCAAGAGCCGCTTCCACCTCCGGAGGAAAAATTCCGCGCGGGGAAAACCTTCGGCGACTCCGAAACGCTCCTCTCCCAGGATCCTGGTCCAGGTCTCCAGGCACAGGCTCCGCAGGATTCCGGCCGCCAGGAATCCACAGGGGGCCACCAAGGAAGGTAGGAACAGGCATTCCAAAGGCTCCCTGAAGTGCTTCCAAGGCTCTTGGATTTGGGAATGTGTTGTTGGGCCTGGAGCAAACGCCGAGGAGAAGTTTTGACTCCTCCCTTCTCCCAGATCCATCCCGGGCTTTGGCGTCTCCAGACGAAGGAATTTTCAGGCTGTTCCTTTGCTTTTCATGTGGTTTTCCTGGACTTTCAGGTGTCCAATAGGATGGTATTCCAGGAGGGAAGCAGTTGGCAGAGGCAGGAATCCATAATGTTTTTCCTGTATCCCATTTTTATGTCCCATTTTGGATTTCATTTGCTTAAACCTGCAATAATTAGAGGGATAACGGGTCCATTTGTTTGGGAACTGGGAATTCGCATCCCTATCCGGCTGCCTTGGGTCGGGAATTCTCAGTGTGGCGTTCGAGAGCCTCTCTGACATTCCATGGGCGTGGAATGTTGTCGGGAACGTTTGTGGCTCCGGGTTGGGTTCGGCTGTTCCGTAGGGACAGTTTTGGGGACAGGAGGCTTCTCCCACCTGGAATGTGGTTGTTTTGGATGGATGTGGAGCACGTTTTCCCGGGAATTGCTGGGACAGGGATTTGGATTCTGATGTGTCTGCAGAGCTATTTTGGGTTTACGGTTATTTTCCATTCCAATCACTGCTCTGGGATGTTGTATTTTCCTGGATGAGGGACTTGGGACAAGGCCTGGAGCGACAGGATAACAGGGAATGACTTCCCCCTGCCAGAGGGTTAGATGGGATATTGGGAAGGAATTCTTGGCTGGGAGGGTGGGGAGGGAGTGGGATGGAATTCCCAGAGAAGCTGTGGCTGCCCCATCCCTGGAAGTGTCCCAGGCCGGGTTGGAGCAACCTGGGATAATGGGAGATGTCCCTGCCCATGGAAGGAGGGTTGGAATTCCGTGATCTTTCTGCTTCCTTCCCACCCAAACCATTCCATGGTTCTATGAAAAGACAGGAATTTTGTTGTTCAGGACAGGGGGAAAGCTTTTTGTGGGAGGAGAAGTTGCAGGAATTTTCTCTCTGTTTGTTTGGAGGGATTTGGGAACTCTGGGAAGGGGATTTTGGATCTGGGGCCTGGGAGAAGCAGGAGAAGGGGGAATAAGTTGGGCACTGTGGATGCTCTTCCATGATCTCCCAAACCAGAGGGGTTGGATACAGCACGAGTTTGTCTTCCATGGATAATGGTGACGTGTGGGATTGGGATCACAGCCCTTCCATGTCCCAAAAACCATCCTCTGGGATAAATTCAGGATTCCCGCTTCCCAAACTGCTCCGTGGGACTTTCTCCCGCCACGGCACATCCTTAAAGAAATCCTTCTCCTTAAAGAAATCCTTCTCCTT